CAGAATTGGTTGATTTTGGTCACAAATTAGAAGAAAAAAATGAAGGCTAAACTAAGTGAAACGAAGGAAAATACATGGGAACTAATAGGGATGGAAAGAAAACTGGGACTCAAATCAATGGAGTGGATTGGAAGGAAGAAAGAAACAACCAACCAGAAAAGAATGAAGAAACGAGAATTTTAAAAAAATGAGGAGAGGCTTAGAAACCTCCAGGACATCTTTAAATGTTCCAACATCTGAATTATAGGGGTACCAGAAGGGGAAAAGGAAGAGCAATAAGTGGAAAACTTATTTGAACAAATAATAAAGGAGAACTTCCCCAATCTGGCTAAGGAAATAGACTTCCAGGAAGTCCAGGAAGCTCAGAGTCCCAAAGAAGTTGGACCCAAGAAAGAACACACCAAGGCACATCATAATTACATCACCCAAGATTAAAATAAAGGAGAGAATCCAAGAAGCAGCAAGAGATAAAGGGGACAGTCACCTACAAAGGAGTTCCCATCAGACTGTCAGCTGATTTCTTAAAAGAGACCTTATAGGCAAGAAGGGGCTGGAAAGAAGTATTCTAAATCATGAAAGGCAAGGACCTCCATCCAAGATTGCTCTATCCAGCAAAGCTTTCATTTAGAATGGAAGGGCAAATAAAGTGCTTCTCAGATAAGATCAAGTTCAAGGAGTTCATCATCACCAAGTCCTTATTATATGAAATGTTAAAGGGACTTATCTAAGAAGATGAAAAATATGAACAGTGAAAAGACAGCAAACTCCCAGTTATTAACAACCGCACCTAAAACAAAAGCAAACTAAGCAGACAGCTAGATCAGGAGCAGGAACACAGAAATGGAGATCCATGGAGGGTTAGCAACAGGGGGGTGGGAGGAGGAAAGAGGGAGAGAAGGTACAGAGAATAAGTGGCATAGATGGTGGGGAGAAAATAGATAGGGGGAGGGCAAGAGTAGTGTGGGAAATGTAGAAGCTAAAGAACTTATGACACATGGACATGAACTAAAGGGAGAAATGTAGGTGGGAAGGGGGTGGAGGGGAATGAAGGGGGGAATGGGACAACTGTAATAGCATAATCAATAAAATACATATACAAAAAAATTGGGGGCCTAAGGTACAATATCTAGGAAAACCGTGAAATAAAATACTTATCCTAGACCTGAGGCAAAATGAGTTTTCGAAAGGAGTGGGGTCTAAAACACAGGAGCTACAGCAGTGCTTGGAATGCAACCCCACAGCTGAAGCAATTTGGAAAAGATTCCACAGTTGAAATTACAATTTGAGGGACAATCCATGTTTCAGGACTATGTGTTTCGAGAGTAGAAATAAACTATACAATGGTATGTCAGTACAGTAAACTGACAAAGTCTGAGATGATCCCATGTGAAGTTATAACTTTAAGGCCACTACTATAAAGGACACATGGACAAAAGCAAGGGGGAGGATGGAAGCGAGAGAGAGAGGTGGGTTTGCCTGGGGTGCCGGGAGGGGGAGGTGGTGGGGGGAATGCAGACAACTGTAATTGAACAACAATAAAATAATTTTAGAAAAAATTTAAAAATAATTGATTTAAATGTGAATAGCTGAAATGAGCATTAAACCCGTTTGTCTCTCACTGGTAATTTCTGTGCCCTTTAAAGCATTTCTGTCAGTTGTTCCTATTGCCCATTTTTTTCTTTTTTTCTCGTGCACTTCTAATTCCTTTTCATCCAGTTTCCATCTGAGCATTTTTTATAATGGCAAACAACTAAAGTATCCTAAATGGTCCATGAAAAGGGGTTTTATGAAATCATCCAGGGACCAAGGTCCCTGGTGGTGCTTTCCCCCACCAAGCCCACCCATCCGTCAGTCCAGGAACCTCTCATCTGGACAGATCCCATAAGATCCCAACAGCATGGTTTCTGAGCCAGTGGAATCACGGGCCTTCTCTGTGGACTGTTTCTTGCTTGGCTGTACCTCTGACATTTTTTCTGTTCTGAGCATCTATTACTTTTGAATAGGAAAGACTAACCAACAGGAAGTGAATTGTTTCTAACCCCTATTTATTGATTGATTTTAGAGGGAGAGAGGAAGGGGGGATAGATAGATGGAGAGGAAGACATCGATGTATTGTTCTACTTATTTATGAATTTATTGATTCTTGTATGTGCCCTGACAGGGGATCAAACCTGCAACCTTGGCATATTGAGACAATGCTCTAACCAACTGAGCTATCTGGCCAGGGCCTCTACACTCTGTTTTACATCTCTAAACCACTGTAGTCAGCTTTATATAATTGGCAATGTTTTCATTTGGGGAAATTGCAAATTGAAAACAGAGCGAATGCTCCCAATTACCAGGTAGCAAGAAAGCTGAAGCCCAAAGAAGTGATTTATCTGTCCCAGGGTACACGGCAAAGCAGGAGCAGAACCCAGGCCCTGGCCTGCAGACTGGCATCCTTTCTATCACTCCCTTCCCTCCATCCCACTGCGAGCCCCTTCCTGCTTTCCCTCTCACTCAGCAACACAGGGATGTCTCAAGCATTCATGGCCTCACAGATTGCACACTTCATTCCACTGACATGATTTGTGTGGATTCTAGAGTGGAGACAGCTACCAGACCAGGCAGGCAGATTCCACATATGCCTTTGTTTACTGGAAAACCAGAGTGGGCTGTAGATCCAATGCACAGAACTGCTGGCAGAAGTCCTGTTCCAGGGCCAGGAGCTGCCTGCCTACTTTGAGAGTCTGCTATCCGGTGATCTGCCAAGGCTGCAGGCGAGTCTATGCCACTTGGACCATATGAGACATTGTCTTGAGAATATCCAGGTATTACTGACAAATTCTCCACGAACACTTCCTCCAGCCTGGTTCTAGCTTGCTCTGAGCCAAATGGAGGGGGAGGCAGGCACTTCTCCAGGAGTCCTTGCCATGTTGGGCAGGGCTTAGGACTGGGCTCCACTCCCCTTTCCATTCGACAGGACATAGTGGAGGGAACATGAATGCATTCATGCTGCACCAGAGCCTACACCAGCAGCTCCAGGCTCTGCGGAAGCCCCAGGGGCTTGGCTCAGCTGTGCCAGCCCAGGAAACTCACGGAGTAAATGGATCACAGGTTTCACAGCTGAGAGATGAGCATGAGGATTTTTTTTTTTCCTGGTGTTTGGGCAACTGAGTCCATGGTGGGTGTTATGGGTTGGCACAAGAAACATTTTTGGAGTCCTGGTCTGTACTGAGGAGTCTCTCTGGGCTATGGTTCTTGGAGGTGGCTCCTGGGTCTGGGTGTCCACTGGGAAAATGTGCTTTGATAGGACAATAGAGAAATCCTGAAGGCCAGAGGATGAGTGGCTTAAACTGGAAGTGTCGATCGCTTCTCAAGGCCTCTGTGGAGGGTTTCTTTCTACACCTTATCAGGGTAAAACAAGCAGGCGCTCACATGACTACATCTTAAGAACAGACTGCACAGTGATAATCAGAGATAGATTTAAAAAAATATTTAATGGCTTTTCAAAAAATACAACATACATGCTCATTATAACAAATTTAAATAACATACGAACTAAGAAGTAAAAGTGACTCCATCCTCCTGAAGAAGTATGAAGTAAAATATCATTTTTCAAACGACCAGACTGGTGAGATCAGAAAGAAGGGCGACACCCAGCCCTGGCGGGGGTGTAGGCCCGGGTCCGCCAAGCCCAGCACTCAGGTCTTTGTTGCGGGGACTGATCTTTTATTGAAAGATGTTTAGAAAGATGCGCCTCTAGAAACCCACTAGATGGCGACGGATTCTTCACCACTACCTCCCAGGCGGTGACACCCAAAAACGTCTCCAGGCACTGTCCCATGTCCCCCCCGACCTCCACTGATGGGAGGAGAACCTGGCTGTTTGATGTATCTATCAAATACTACAATTCGTCACCAGCAGCCTTCCTTCAAAACACATTTATGAAAATAGAAACTTGTTTCAGAAGCATTTTTGTGCAACACCATTGGTAATATTTTTAAAAATTGATAATGATCCAAATGACATTTGTTCCTAGCCTATGTATATAATATGAAAAATGCCCAGATAGAGAAAAGAATTAAATAGCTCTGATGTAGCGAGCTCTTCAAGATAAAATTGTTAAGGGGAAAAGCAAAGGTGCAGAACAGTGGAGGACATTTTTTTTTTAATTTAAAGAATGAAGTTGTATGAGCAAGTATATGTGTGTATGTATGTTGAAAAAACATATGGAAATTTGTATATATATTTTAATTTTTTATTTATTAATTTTACAGAAGGAGGGGAGGGCGGGCAGAAGGAAAGAAACATGGATTTGTTGTTTCACGGACTGATGCATTCTTTGATTGATTCCTGTATGTGCCTGTGCCGACAGGGGACCGAAACCGGGCACGTTGGGACGATGCTCTAACTGAGCCACAGGGGCCAGGGCTGGGCATGTGTGTTTGCAAAGCCTGGAAGGAGGTGTACTAAATCACAAACACTGGTGATCTGTCTGCGCAGCAGGGTGGAGGGCTGCAGGTGGGTAGTATGCAGAATTTTCCATTTCTGCCTTAAATATTTCAGCATCACTTGCATCATTTTACAACAAGGACTTGTAGAAGAAAGATAAACATAGGAAGTAGAAAAGACAAACAGGAAAAGACAGAAGGAGTCCTTTTGAGGAGCTGCCTGCTCTCTCCACACCATGTAAACTTAGCTTCAGGGGTTCCTCGTGCAATGCACTTTAAAGTTCTCATGGCAACATCATATACACCCCCTCATCACATCCTCACAGCGAGTCTTCCAGGTTGGCAGAGAGGGGTAGTTACCTCCATCTTGCAAATGGGGAAACTGAGACTCAGAGAGTGCAGGGACTTGCCCAAAGGCCAGAAGTGGTGGCCCAGAAGAAAGAGGGAACCCAGGTCTCAGGAGTCCCAGAGACCTCCGCCTCCCACCCCGCAAAGTAACCAGAGCAGATCCGGCCACAGGCTGTTACAACCATGGCCCTGGCATGCTTGCCTCGCTTGCACTCCTACCTGTGGTTTGACTCCTTCAACTCCTCTTCAATTCTTATTCCTTCAACAGGCGCTGGTAATCGTCTCCCAAAGGTGATTCTCATCTTTCAGGTGCTTCTTTGCTGAAGATGTTGTGCTTTGGGAGGAGGGGGGATTTGAGATCTGACCCTGTTACTCTTCAGCTCACCACGTGGCTTCCCCTCTCTGGGCTTCATCTGTAAAATAAACACACCAAACCCCCAGAGCTGTTTCAATGATCAGAGCAATCATGTGTCTGAATGCACTTTGTAAATCAGAAAGGACTTATTGAGTCAATCTTAACAGAATTAAGTTCTAGCTCTTCCTGTGGGGTTAGACTGAAACTGGTAAGAAACTGCAAGCCTACGCTGAATGAAAATCTGCGTGTGAAATATGACACAAAGATTGGCGATCTATGTTCAGAAGACCACACACACGTTTCGGATAATGGGTCTGTCTGCCTAAGCTCATGCCGTACCTGAGCCAGGTTCCTTTGGAACCTGTTACTGGGCTTTGGGACCTGTGCTGTCACCAGAGAGAGATGCCACATGCTAAACACCCTCGGGCAGGGGGAACAGTGAAACAAGGAAACCCAAAGTATTACCAAACCCACAATTATATTTCCACCCACAGGAGAACGGACTGGACAAGGAGCAAGTTAGTTATGTCCATCCAGGGTATATGGGGTTGCTCAGTTAATCTACTAACATCATAAAAAGTTACAAATGCAGAAGCACCTTGGCAATGGGACCATCTCCCTCCATCCCAGTGATATGTGCTAAAAGCGGCTTTGTAAAGGAATGGCAACAATGAAGGACAGACTTAAAACAAGCTCTTCTTGCTGCTGGACAAGGTGTGGTGAAGTAGGCCCTGGGTGCGTGGTCAACGACCCTTCTTTTGCAATTTGTCAGTGTGTTATTGAAGACTTTGAACAGTTCGTACTTTCTCACCCAGGAGCCGTGGGTATAAAATTCTATTCTAAGAAAATAATCCAACTCACAGTTAGATGTATATAAATACACAGACGTATTTTTATACACATACACACGCACAGTGATTTTCAGGTCAGATTTATTATAACAAACATCTAAACATACATGTGTGCTCACACGCACACATACAACTGTCCAAAAATAAAGAAATGGTCAACTACAGAAGAAATTATGAATATATTTATATGAAGCACAGTTATAGTTATCAAAATCATGTTTTTGAGAAATATTTTGACATTGAAAATGCTTACAATAATTAAAATATAAAGCTACATACTTGTCAGCAATTAAAATATATACATTTAAAAAGATAAAAATAGCAGCTAACATTTACTGACTGTTCACTATGCGCCAGGCAGTGTCCTAGTATCTGACTCAATCCTCCCCTGGCCCGCTGAGCTGGGTACTGTCATTATCCCCGTTTTTCCAGAGGAGTAAATGGAGGCACAGGGCCTGGGCAGAGTTTCCAAGGCCACACCGAGGAACAGAGGTGGTGAGGCGGGACTTCCAGCAAAGCCGGTCTGGCTCTCAGGGCCTCTGCAACTGTAGGGCAAGATGCTGACAGCCGTCATCGCCAGGTGGTAGGGCCGAAGAACATACAATTTTCTTTTTTATATTTTCCAAATTTTCTCTAGAGGCATTTTTTTTGTTGTTGTTAAAATTAGTTTTTGTTAGACCCTGCCAGGTAGCTTAGTTGGTTAGAACCTTGTCCTGATAAACCAAGGTTGTGGGTTTGACTCCGGATCAGGACACATACAAGAATCAACTAATGAATGCAGAAAAAAGTGGAACAAATCGATGTTTCTCTCTCTCTCTCCAAATCAGTAAATTAAAAAAAAAACAGTTTTTATTATAAAGACATTATACTAACACTTTAAAAATACTTCCAAAGTATTAATAACCTAGGAGCCAGACAGATGGAAGGTGATAAATCAAACACAACTTGATTTAATTATACGGAAATGAGCCAGGGAAGGCCAGACTTGGAGGGAAAGATAACCTGTTCGATTTCGAACACACCGCATTTCGCCAGGTGTCTGTGGGACATCCACGTAGAGAGGACTAGAGAAGGGACAGAGGTGTGGTGAGAAGACTTATGAGTGGAGAGCCGGCAAGCAGGCAGAGACTGCCAAAGCTGCAGCAGACACTGACTGTTTCTGCCTGCCTTTCCCTCCACCTTTTCTCTGAGTAAGAGCCACCCAATGTTTCCTCTGGAGAAGTACATCACCCACTTGGTGTGGTCTTGGTGAGACAGTCTGCCCACCATCCAAGAGGTGGGGACATTTGTCGAGCTAAAGGAGAACCCTTCTTGAGATCAAAACCAATATACGTCTTTTTAAATTGTTCTATTACAGCTGTACCAATTCCTGCCCCCCAGCCTCGTTGTTCTCCCCTGTCCCACCCACCCTTTGTTGCTGGTATTCCCTGATTCCTGGAGCCTGCAGTTCCCCAGCCATTTAATGAATGGCCTTTGCTGCTCAGAAAGCCAATGTTCAGCTGAGTTTGAAATTTGGTTTTCCTGAGTGAGCTGAGTCTTAAATCTGGCTTTGTTGAGGGACAAAAGGGTTTCCTGATTTCCAAACACTCTTGTTTTTGCAGAGTAAGAGCACAACTTGGGGCTGAGAAGTTTTGCTATAGCAAAAAGGGACAAAAGTCCTTCTGGGCCAACCCAGGAGAAAAATGAGGACAAAAGTTCAGATGCAAGTGTCCTGGGCCACCTTCCTCTAAGGTCAAACCCCCTATGTGGGGCTCAGAAGCCCTAGACAGGTCAAGAATGCTGGTGCCCCCTCCCTGAGCAGAGCCGAGAGAGAGCCCCACGCTGGCCACGCCACAGCACCAAGGTGGCACCTAAGCTGTAAGAACAGTCCTGCGAGACAACAGGGTGGACAATGGTGGCTCCCTTCCTTTGACCTGCGTGCCTGTAGGCTGGAAGGGTACACAGGACCCCGCAAGGGGTCTTGTGGATGTGCTAAGTGGGCTGATGGACGAGGAAAGGCCAGAAGACAAGATGTCAGGGCTGTGGCCCACGAGGATCTCAAGACTAAGAATACTGGCAATTTTCATGATGCTAAGCCATTTTCCTGATTTTGCTCGGGAAATAAATCAGGTTAGCCCCATCTTGGTAGGTTCCACCAAATTCCATAACGACTGGGCACAGGTCTACAGCCAGCCACGTGGCAACTCAGATAAGACCAGCAAAGGGCAGGGAACAGCATCTGAACCACAACGCTCACCCATTGCCCCCTCCTATCCAGGTGCAGGGAGAATGGAATGAGAAGGGGAAGGGGTGCAGAACACCTTGAAATATTGAATGTTTATGCAAAATATAGTACTGTAAACCAGAAGAGACTGAAACATGCCCTAAAACTGGGGGAATGGAAGCTTGAGAGCCAGATGAGATCAGCTGAAACAGAAAAGTTGCATTGTTTTTACACCTCCGAGTAGCAGTGGGTAAAATCCAACCCTACCATTGGGGGCCAACTAGAGCTTCTCTCCTGGAAACCCGAGTCTTGTAGAGAGGGACACATGTGCAGAGGGACACATGTGAGAGCAAAAGTGTGTGGCACTGAATCGGCTGGACAGCAGTGCCCCCAAGAAGCTGCTGTGAAAGGCTCTGGACCCCCAGAGCACATGCTGGGTGAGGAAAGAATTCCCAGCAGTTCAGCTGAGCCAGTTCAGCTGAGCAGTTCCGTGATACAACAGTTCACACGTAGAGTAAGTTGGAAGACTTTTCCCAAGACACAACTTAATTTAAATTAAAAAAAAAAACAGCCATTGAGAAACTGGCAGATATACGAAGTATGGAGTTTACATATTCACACACCTAAAATAGTCAATTAAATCATAAATTTTTTAAAAAAAGAGAATGAATGCCTAAAGGCTGAGCCCAACAGCTCTTTAAACTCTTGTTGCTTTGCACAGGAAATATTTATTCTTTGCCAGGACTTGAAAATCAGAACACAGGTCCACATTATGAAGTCGAGCTGCCCCTGCCCCACCCCCACCATTCTCTGGAACCTACTTAGTGTCCTGTATGTCTTTTCGATGTGTCTCTATGCAGACACAATCAATACACACATATACTCTTGCTTTTGCATCTTGCTTTTTCCACTTACTATACCTCAGAGGTCTTACCTAAGACGACAGAGTTCCTTTTTCTAGCTACACAGTATTTTAGTGTATCGCTGCACCCAGTTACGTGCTCGGTCCCCTACAGATAGACAGCCACCTGGGCTGTTTCCAGTCTTTTGATATTGCAACCAATGCTGCAATAACTAACCTTTTACACGAGTCATTACATAAATATATGTAAAATGTCATCTACATAGTGGATGCCAGCCTTGTCATTTTGATAAACATTGTCTTTTCACAATCCCACCAGCCATGTCTGAAAGTGCCCGTTGCCTACTGCCCCACTCCCTGCCTCCATTGCCGCCAACCCGACAGGTTAAAATTAGTATCTCAGTACACATTCAACAAGCATTTATCTTTTGAAGACTGAGACTGCACATCTGTTCAAGGGCCATTCTTTTTTATTTCTTTTTCTGTGAACAATGTATGTGTTCATTCCCTTTGCTCATTTTCTCTATTCTGCTGCTACAAGCTCTTAACCTGGGGTTTGTGGCTTTCTCAGAGGGGCTTATGACTCAGAGAAGATTAAGAACTATTGGAAAAAAAAAGAACAGCTCCCCCTAATCCAATACACATCTGTGGCATCTATTCCAAGATTTGTTTTAAACTTTTAACTGAAGTTTAATATACATACAGAAAAAGGTGCACATTCTATGTGTGCAGCTTGTGACCTGAACACAATTCCTTGAGCAAGGTCAGATCTGGGGACAGAATGTGACCAGCACCCCTGAAGTCCTGTTCAGTACTCCTTCTAGTCCTCACTGTTTAGATTTTCATGTGTGGCTTTACTGTTTGAGTCTATTTTTTGGCTTTAACACCTTCCTGATGTCATCATAGGTTGTTTTTTTTTTAAGGTTTTATTTACTTACTTTTAGAGACAGGAAGGGATGGAGAGAGGGAGAGGAACACTGGTTGGTTGCCTCTTGTCTCTCACACGCCTCCTTCCACCTGGAGAAGCCGCAGACACCCAGGCATGTGCCCAGACTGGGAATTGAACCAGCGACCTTTTGGTTCCCAGGTCGGCACTCAATCCACTGAGCCACACCAGCCAGGGCATCATCATATAGTTTAAATTACAAAGTTCAAATGAGTGAAAATTTGAGAGAAGGCAAGATTCTGGGTCTTGGGGTTTTGAAAACGCGCAGTAAAGGGCCTTCTCACACTCCTGGGAAGAGACTCTGCAGTCCTCGGGCTCCCCCTGCAGGTGACCAGTAGCCACTGATAAAAGCTTCCCCTCCCCTCCTGGAGCTCTGAGAACTGACTTGAGTCCTGCAGCAACTTGAAGTTGCTGCAGACTCACTCCAACGATGCAGAGGGGTGCGGCCAAATCATTTAACAGGGCCTCCAAAAGTCCTCCTTCATTCCCCACTCCGTAACCCAACGTTTCAGAAAAGCAACTATTAAATACCAGACCGTAAGAGCTTTGGGACACGAGAATGCCAGGCAAGTGCAGTTAATCTCTTCCCCAACTTTCACCAATTTGCCCCCCAAACGAGAGACTGCTGTAAAATGCTCCGCTGCTAAAATCTGTCAAAGGAGTCGACATTCCCCAGTTCCGATTCTAAGAAGTGAATGGGCAACTGTAATTATTTGCTGAGATGACTGACTTACTGATGGACTCACTCACTCATTCGATACATATGGTGGCAGACCCTGTGCCAGGTACCAGGACACAAGATGCAGCACCTGATATGATGGAGTGTGAGGTGCTGTGAGAGCACAGAGCATAGGGGCATTTAACCTACACGCGGAGAACAGGAGCTGAGGGACGGAAAGTTGGGTGGAAAATGTTACAGATAATTCCTGCCCTCCGGAAGCCTGGAATCTAGCTGGAGACACAAGGGATGTATGGGCAAAAAGCTAAAAAATAAGTTGAGGAGGCACCTGACGAAGTCCTAAGGGATGTATTTCTGGAGTCCCGGAAATGAGGAGGGGCTCTGGGCCAATGGAGTTGGCAGATGACAGACTGAGGAGCTAGAGGCGCTTCAACTGTGGTGGCATTCACCTGGTGGCCTCAAGTGAAATCCATGATAGGAGTGAGTGGGAAGGGTCACCACCACCAAGGGGAAGTCCTCCAGGTTGCAGGTCCAAGAATTCTGTGTCAAGGTGCCCAGGGCTGATAAAACTCAGAGGAGTGGACTCAATTTATGTCGATGATGACCTATGAACCAGATGTCAACCTATCAACTTGCAGAAGGAAAGGTATCTTCCTCAGAAGCGGAACCCTGTGCTTGCCTCACAGGGTTCGCCCTGTTTCTTTCCGGTATTTCCCATCCTCTCCTTGTGGGCCCTCACCTCTCCTATGGCTTCAACAGCTACCCACATGCTGACTCCAAATCTCTATTTCTAGCCAGAATCTCTCACTTGGGCTTCAGACTCACGTACGTTCCTGCCCTGTGCATACCACAAGGCAGCTACCCTCACAGCTCTCAAGTTCACTGTTTCCAAACTGAGCTAACACTTCGAAGCATCTATTCATATTGGGGCTATGGGAGCAGACTCTGGCCGGACTGCCCTAGTTCCAATTCTAGCTCCACCACTTACAAGTGGTATAAACTTAGGCCAGCTTCTCTACTTTGGTTTCCTCATCTGTAAAATGAAGAAGATATTGGTAAGCTCACAGGAGTGTTGTGATGATGAGAACGCCTTTGCTGACTCATGATAAGAGCTTTAAAAGTACTATCTTTTACTATTATCAACCATTTAAATGTTGTTGTTCTTTGTCTGCTTCCTGTCACTTGGATTCAGTAGCTATATTAGAAATGGGCAACGACACCCATTCAGTTGCTCAAACCAGACAGAAAATTGTTATTGCCCACTTTCTCCCACTGCTCCTTCCATACACATTCAATCTCTCGCCAAAGCCTGATGTATGCAATCTTCCATCTGTTCACCTGTTTTCCACTCCTAAGGCCACCTGCTCTTGCAATCACTGCAGCCTCAGGCCTGGATCACTGGGCCATCCACGTGGAAACCAAAGTAATCTTTTTAAAGGAAAATGGCCATTTTCCTTCTCATCCACAGCCTCCATGGTTCTTAAAATAAACCCCTTGGCATGGCCTTTAAGATTGTTCATAACTGGTTCCTGCTTTCACCTGCACTTCAAACTCCTTATGTCCAAAGCTAAACTTTTCCCCCAAACCTGTCAGCTTTCCAGATTCCCCTCTTTAATGAATGGTATCACCTACCGGCCTTCCAAATACTTCCTGAGTAATAAACCACATCCTCGGACTGCATCCAACTTCATGATGGAGATATGCTTACTTGAAGTACTTTAAAATGGTCTGAGTCTTAGTATCTAATGCCATAATGAGTGGAAGGTAAAATTAAGAATTCACCAAAATTATATTTAGCAAATACTAACCTCCAGAAATTCGTTAATCTAGATACAGTCCTTGCCCTCAGGGATGTGTTTTATCTATAAAAATATTTTTGAAATGACAGCTTAAAAACACGTTTGATCTTGATACAGCTCACTTGGCAACTTCTGAGAAAATAGATCATATTTTCCTCTTTCTTTAAATTCTTTTCTGCCCTGGCTGGTGTAGCTCAGTGGACTGAGTGCGGGCCTGCAAACCAGAGGATCGCAGTTTGATTCCCAGTCAGGGCACATGCCTGGGTTGCAGGCCAGTTGCCTGCAGGGAACATACCAGAGGCAACCATACATTGATATTTCTCTCCCTCTCTTCCTCTTCCCCTCTGAAGATAAATAAATGAAATCTTTAAAAAAATTCTTTTCTAAGAGATGCTGAGAGATGAACAGCAGTGGATGGACAGGCTTTAGAGAGACTGAATCCTGACCCAGCCCTGGCTGGTGTGGCTCAGTAGACTGAGCCTGCCCTGTGATAAAGGGTCTCCAACCCAATTCCCACTCAGGGCACATGACTGGCGTGCAGGCCAGGTTCCCAGTAGGGGCGCATGGAGCCAACCACACATTGATGTTTCTCTCCCTCCCTTCCCCTCTAAAAATAAGTAAATAAAAATCTTAAAAAAAAAAAAAAAAGAATCACTTTGTAAATCCTGACTGAGTCACCTACTGCCATGGGACAAAGGGAGCCAAAACAAGTTATCAAATCCCTCAGAGGCCCAGTCGCTCATCTGCAGTGTGTGAAGTCACAGGATATCGAGTGAGAACATGTACATAGCCGCTGCACCATGGAAGGCGGCCATTATCACCAACATCATTTGGTTTTACATTGCACCTTTACCCTGAACACTTACTCTTTCATCCTCTCAGTTGAGCCTCTGGTAGGAACAAGGAGAGTTTTTAAAGTTTTGCCCAGGGCCCATGACGCGCTTTGTTCGACAACTTTACACAATGACTTGTAGATTCCACTCCCAGATATGGGTCAGGCATCCCAAGGTCTGGCTATAATTAACTTGTATATTCTAAACTATTTTCAGCAGCCTAACTAGTTAGATGACTATATCCAAGTATAGGGGGTTGGAGGTGGGAGGGTCCAGTTTGGGTTTGGCCAACAACTCTCACCCCGGCTTGAGCCAAAACCAATTGCAACCAATACCACTGAGTGAGCGAGCAGAGGCACAGCTACATCAGCGGAACCAGTCCCAGTGATGAGGGGGTGGCGGCTGTTGCACAGCTCATCTCTTCCCTGCCTGCCATCGGAGCAACCATCAGAATCATACACATGGGAAAATCCTCCCCATCCACTCCTTAGATGAACTCCCTGGAACTTTCTGCAAAAATGAGGGTACGTGCATTTCTCTTCGAGAGAGTCTATTATTTCTCACCAGACGCTTAAAGGGGTCCATAGCTGAAAAACCCGAGATTCGCCGTTAGAATTCCTCACTCAAGTGAAGGTACTGAGGCGGACACAGGGAAAAGTAGTTGCCTCAAGTCCAACACCAGGGGGATGCAATGTCAACTGCGGTCTCACATGCATGTTCCCGGCACTGTCCGACCCCGCCTCGCTTCTCCCTAGGCTCTGAAAAACCCGCGGGAGGCTAGGGCTGGCGTCCGAGCCCTGGAGGGGCGAGCCTGCAGGCGGTCCAGATTCTAAGGAGGCGGTCCAAGCGCTCACAGGAGCTCTGGAGCCAAGAAGATTCCCGACCCTGGTCTCGCCCGGAAGAATTCCGTTGCCTTTGGGACTCCGGGTAGAGCCCCAAAGCCAGGGAACCCCGCGAAATGGAGGTGGCTTGGCGACTGTGAAAAACAACGCCTACTCACTCACCTGACAAGAGAGGAGGAAGTAGGCACTCCCCAAAAGCCGGCCCCGAGCGATCTTACTGCGCAAGGGGGAGGGAGCGAAGAGAATAACAGGAAATGACGCAACCGCACGTGCTTCTGAGAGGGGAGAGTGGGGGGCGTTTGAGGGGCGCGGCCGACGCTCTGCGCCTGCGCAGTCGCTGCGTGCCGCTGTGCCGAGTCACTGGGGTGGGAGGAGCATGAACAGGAGGCGGGGCTCTTGCACAAGTGACGCAGGCGCAGTGCGACTTCGGAGGCGCGGGCCGCCCCCTCCGCGGATTTGGATCCGGGTCAGTCAGCCGCCGCGATCCGGGACGGACGATCTGAACCGGCGGTACTGGGTAGCCGGAGCGCCCCAGCTGCGAGGAGGTGAGCGTCCAGACGGGAACGGGAGGGTCCACGTCACCAGGTCTCGGCCCCTAGGCTCGCCCTGGCCGGGGGCGGCTCCCTTTGGGACTGTTCGCCTCTCATCGCTTCGTTCTGCGGCGCTGATTGCTTGGGCCGGGCCGGGCCTGGGCCTCTGGACCACCTCCTCGGCTTCTGTGGCCTGGCCCTGCCGGAGCTCCGCTGTCTCGCCCCTTCCCTCCTTCCTGCTCACTCGCGGCCCCCGCCCTCTCCCGCCGGCCTGTAGCTTCCCCTTTTCGCCCTCAACGATCGCCCTTTGCCCCTTCCCGCCGTTTCCCGCTCGTTTCTGAGCCCGTCTCGTTGGCTGCTTCTTTGGCTTCTCTTCCGCCTCCTCCTGCATCCCTGGAGCCTTCCCCTGACCCAAAACTCTTATTCTGGAGGCCCCGGGCGGCCGGAGGTGGGGGGTCCCAGACATCTGTGCACTTTCCGAGCCACCTAGGTTCTGATTTTTACTCCTGATCCTGTTGAACCGCGATGAAAAGAATAACATCCTCCTTTGGCTCTAGCGACGAGAGTGTAAGGGTTGAGCGGATATGTAAAGAGAGGTGGGAATGTTTAGTGCCGGGGGCCTATTGTTTCAACTTTAGCTTTCTTGTCGAGTTTCTGGACAAGGTTTTCTTTTCCGGGCTCCACGCATCCTGATGGGCTATGAGTTTCTGAGTTTTTAAGTTGATGACAGGCTTACATGCGGATCCTTTATTGATCTTTCTCAGGTCTTGACAGGGTCCTGGAACTTAGGCTCGAGGTTCAAAGAAATCTTGGTGGAAACCGCAATATAGAAATAAGATTTTGACACACGCTATTCGTTGAAAGTCAGAGAAAACCAGAACGTGCCCTTTTTGCTGGAGAAACTTAGAATAATTTTACTTGACCTGTTTGAAAGGTTGGGGATAATCTGAGACATACTGCTCTGTGTGATTTGACTTAAGGCAGTATAAAGTAACTTTAAATGGGCCTTGAAAAGTTCGATCTTCAGGAGATTGTTCAAATTCAAGAAGTCAGTGCTGTGAAAATGGCAAGAAAGTCTCCCACAAATTTAATGTTAATGGAGAGGGATAAAGCAATTATGTTTCCCTGTGTTTGTCTCAGAGTTCTTGATTTGAGTGAATGGGGAGCTAGGAGTACAGAGGAGCACAGTAGACCTTTTGTAATTACAAATATGATCTGCACTAGCTCCTCAGGCCATGCCTAACACTCCTCTTTGCTCAGAGTTAATGTGACTGAAAAGGTGACCAAATGCTGAAAGTAGCTGAGATGGAACTTTATTCCTAAAGTTTTAGTCTGTAGTTTGGTCTTTTTTGGTTTTTAACTTCCAGTGTGGCAACAAGAATGTTAAATAAGTTGTATTAGCATCTAGAGGTCACCTGCAGTGCTATTAAACTAGCACCATATAATTAAAAGTTACATATCTGGGTATAGAGCTTGTTAGCACAGTCTTAGGGCAGGAATGAGACTCCCGCTCTTATAGGAAGGGGGTTCACAGCCCTGGTATGGGTCAGGTTCACCTGTACATCCCTAGCACCCAGTCTAGTGCTAAGGTAAGACTTATCTGCTTGTGGAAGGAATGGATTTCTATCTGTAGGATTGGGTGGTGTATGTTTAGATGTGATGTACTGTTTCCGGAGAGGTGGAAGAGGATTTGTGTGGGGTCTGCAGGGTTGGGGAGACTGGCTCAGACGATTTGACTATAAGGGCTACTTGTCTGAGCTTTTGACTGGTTATAAAGTGATTCCAGGAAACTAAGTCAAACTTGGTTCTAGTTCTGCCAGCAGGAAGAACTTGTTTACAGCCTACAATAGCACTCTTTTTAGATGCTGTGGGGCTTTAAAAATACTAGACTGTGATCTTTGCTCATCCCTCTTCCTAGATATATAGGACATTATCGTGTATGTGGGGTAGGATCCCTCCCTAAATTAAAAAAAATTAGAAGTCAGTGAAGTGTAGAATGGATAATGTTTCCCCAAGTTCATATACTAGGTTAAATAAACCTGCAAAATGTACCTGGAGGGTACGCTTCAGTTTTTTTCTGAAGAAGTTAAGGTGAGAGCTGGCCGAGTTCTGAGACTGATTCCAGTGATCCGTGATTCAATCCCAAGAGAGAGCTGCCTGCAACATCTTACTGAATACACTTGGTTTCTTGCTGCTTTATTCTACCACTGGGACTACAGAGTTACATTATATCCAGCATATTACAGCACCCTGACCTTTGGAATATTAGAGGTCTCACAATAACATCAAACGCACCCCTGAGAAGTGAGCAGGTGGGGGATCAGAAAGGATCCAAGGGGTGTACAGAGTCTCTAAGGGGTGGGGGGGTGGGTTGGGGGTAGCAGGTTAGGGATAAAGAAGAGGTGAAGTGAATCCTTTGCTTCAAATATTCCCCATCTTTTTTTTTTTTTCATCATTTTCAGATTCTCTGTGATGTCATAGATACTAGTTTATTTTTTGTTCAGGATTTGGTATTAACTAATATTCTATCCTGAGTGGAAGAATAATTGGGAAACTAGATTCAAAGAATTAACAGACTTTTCAGTTGTATTTTTTGTTGCCTTTGTTGGTCTCCCTTCCCCTTTTCTTTGTTTAAATATAACAATGAAGGTGAAAGAAATGGAGAACATTGGTTTATTGGGCTAGGTGTTACTTTTTTTTTTTTTGTAAGAGAGGGAAAGGGAGAGAGAAAAGAAACCAAGAGAAACATCGATTGATTGCCTCTCGCATATAGCCCAACCTGGGACCTGGCCCAAAACCCAGCTATGTGCCCTGAGAGGGAATCAAACCTACAACCCTTTGGTTTTGGGGATGACACATAACCCTCTTTCTTTGGCCGAGTTTGTTCTTTTTATTTTTGTGATTTTAGGTGTAGCTTATTTATTTTGTATCTTTCTTGTGTTATAAAATATCCAAGCTATAAAAAACCCAGATGAAGGTATTAACCTTACATATAGAATGTGGAATAATCTGTAATTGAAACGTGTTTGTAATCCTGCTTCAACACTGGTAACAGCTTGATATCTGTGTATGAGTGTTGATATGAATACTGATATTTGGATCAGGACTGCTTTAGAGAAATGCTATTGTGAGTCATGAAGTTACACCTAACTAGAATTTTTAAGGTTAGACTAGATAAATACTCGCTAGTTATAAAGAATCAGAGTTGTTCCTGAGCTTTCCCCTGTTGTTTGAGCTTTCCCCTTTTATTTCTGATGCAAAGGTCATTTTGTCTGTAGGTTTCCAGACCTCTACAACTGGATTTGACCCCCTTTTAAGAAGTATACTTAAAGACAGATTTTAGGTGACCTTGTTTCCGAAACTGTGTAACTTCAAGTATTCAGGTAGTTTAAATTCTGTCCTAATAAATATAAGAAATAAAACCTGTAGTTTTCTAAAAAGAAAGTCTCATACACCAAGACTTCTTTTTAAAAGTAGAAATTTGTTCTTTCCCCACCATCAAACAGTAATAGTATTAAGAATAAAGATTTTGTTCTATTCCCAGTCAGGGTACATGCCTGGGTTGCAGGCCAGTTCCCAGTAGGGGATGCATGAGAAGCAACCATACATTGATATTTCTCTCCCTCCTTCTCTCCTTCCCTTCCCCTCTAAAAAAGATAAATAAATAAAATCTTTTTAAAAAGGACAAAGATTTTAACAACAGGTATACTTTTGAACCCACCTGTTTTCACTGTGCTCATTTTGATTTTCTTTTTTAGTATTAGCAGGAACATCCATAGTAGTGTACAGATTTTCACAATGAAATCCGAAGCCAAGGATGGAGAGGAGGAGAGTCTACAAACTGCTTTCAAGAAGTTAAGAGTGGATGCATCGGGGTAATTAAATATATAATGTTATTTGGGAATTATTCTCGCTAGATTTAAACAGCCTTTTCCTCTGAAGCGCTCTTTCTCTACTAAAATTGCTCATTTGTAGAAGATACAAATGTTAACAATGTGACAGTCTGCCAAATTCCGCAGTGTTGTGTTATTTGTCTTCTGTTAAAAGTTGTCCGTCATACGTCATACGTACTCCAAGGTTCCTTGATTTGGTTTTCCTTAACTTTGAGGAGGGCTTTCTCCCTCTTTTTCATCAAACATTATCAGCGTCCCATCAAGGATTTCATCATACAATATTTTTAGGGAATCAGTATTTTTCACTGGAAGTGAATTGTCTCAATAGAAATCTGTGTAGACACAGTCAATTTCATGGGCTCTGTTGCGGGGGCTATCACTATGGAAACCTATTCATTAGGGTTCTGTCACAGAGATCAATAATCTTGGTCCCTTTGGCCAAAGTAATTAGAGCACCTATAGACCAGCTGCTCTCTGAATGTTAATATTTCACCCTTTGCAAAATGTTTTGTGCACAATACCTCTCATCTCCATTCTTTGCCCCAGGCCAGAAGAAATCTCAGATTTTTAGTGGATATAAGGATACCAAACACTGGAAGCTCAGGGTAGAATATTCTACAAGTAATAATAATAATCACTAAAATTTATTACTCACTATATCCTGGACATTAGCTTGAGTGCTTCATACACATTATTTAATCCTCAGTACCAACTTACTCCAGTTTACAGGTGAACCACATATGAGGTAAGCTACTTGCTGAAGGTCCCATCAGTAAGAAGTGGTGGAGCTGGATCTGAACCCAGGTGATTTGTGTCCCAAAACCTGTGCTCTTAACCATTGCTTTGTATGGTACCTTGGAAACAACATGGAAGGCATGCAGTGACGGGACATAGTAAAAATTAAATAGATGTTGGTTGTTCTTACAGCTGTCTGCTTATTGCTAACACTATTTTAGCCTACCACATGATTTATACTAATAGATTTATGCTAAATGTACTAATTGTATAATAGCTGTTACAGGTGCTCACTTTTGCTTCCATGATACTTCAGATAAGTATGTATTTCCTTCCAGTGGTTTTTCCAACATGGCAGGCATTTTGCCATTAAAATTGGTCAGTACTTTTAAGCCATTTTGAGAAATGGAAACAAAACAGAGAAACAGTTTAAGGTTGTGGTCATAGTGTTTGTCTTTGTGATTTCTGGTATAGAGCTTTTTTGAAAGCAGGGAAATACCAGGAGTGCAGCATATACTCAGGTATATATGTACATTTATATTATATAAATAACTGTTGATAACACAGACTCCTCTCCCGGAATTAGAAGTTGGAACATAAAATTAAGTTGTTTCAGTGCCCTAAAATATTACTTGGAACATTAAAACTTTCAAAATATATGTACAATATATGGCCAGATATTATATAATTGTAGCAGATGGTCTACTTTGAGTACGATTATAGAAAGAGAAGGAGCAGTGGAGAGCATATGAGAAACCCTAACACGTACGAGTACAAGGGGTGAGTCATGACCGTGACTAAGCGGAGTAAGACTTGTTGGCGTATTGTGCATTTCTAGTTGTTTCATAGCGTTGCCGACCTACAAGTGGGACAGCGGGGTGGTGACTCATGAACTCACCAAGCCTTGCCAGGAGTGGAGCATGATCCTGTTCAACAGGTTTTGGTTTCTGATGGTATTTGTCCTACTGAGACAAACCTCAACATATTTGTTATAAAACAGCATAATCCTTTTTATCCGACTATAAAATAATACATGCTTATCGTAGAAAAATTCACAAAAATAAAAAAGGAAGTCAACATCATATTTTACCATAGTCACCGTTGATATCTAGACCATCTCTGTATACTTTTTTTACATAGTTCAGATCATTAATGTATAGGTACTTATCCATGTTTTCTCTTAACATTATGAGCATTCGCTTATGAAAAGTTCTTTATGCACTTAATTTTTAATATAATATTCCATTTATGTAGTACAATATTTTCTGTTATTGGATATTTAAGTTATTCCTGGTTACTTTTTACTTTATATTTCAGTGAACGTCTTTTAAAATTGATTTTCAGAGAGTGGGGAAGGGAGGGAGAACGACGGGGGGAGAAACATCAATGTGTGATCCATTGCCTCTTGCACGCCCCCCAGCTGAGGAGCTGGCCCTGGGAACTAAACCAGCCAACTTTTGGTTCACAGGCTGGTGCTCAGTCCACTGAGCCACACCATCCAGGGCTCAGTGAACATCTTTTTATTTTAGTTCAGTAGATTTTCTGTTTCTGAAGAATTTTTATTGGTACCACAGTGTGTGTGGTAGGGGCCCATTGTGTGTACATGAGTGTGTATTGAAGAAGATCTGGAAGGATTTACACTAAAATGTTAGTGTTGATAATCTCTGGGTTGTAAGATTATAGATGATTCTTTTTTCTCTTCACTGTTTTCATCTTTCTTGGGACCTCATATTACTGGTGTAATTTCAATCTGATAAGATTTGAAACTCAGCAATATTTCAAGTTTGTTAGTATAAAAATTAGAATGTTTTCCCAAAAGCTGTATAATATTTGGAAATGTATTTATTTTTCAAGTTAGATTAAGTCTCCTAAAGTTTTTGCTCCTAAACTTAGTTTCTGGCTCTGGTTTGCCCACGTGAAATAGGTGGTCAGTGTCGTTAACATTCTCCCTGGATGTGAGGCCTGATCTGCCCCAGATAAACAGCCTTAAAGTCTATTTATATCCTGCTGCTGGTTATGCTTAAGATCATTCTTTGGCTTGTGATTTTGCAACAGTGGATTTATTAGGGATCCTCCAAATTTGGTTTTGGAGAAAAATTTGCACTAAAAGCTGAACAATTTTTGAGAAACTTAAACTAGAAACACGGCAGTTTCATGTGAGTTGGGAGCAGTTTCGTGTGAGCAAGTTCTCCTTGCACAGTTTCTGTAGCAGTAAACTTGGTTCTTGCCTGCAGGTCCATAGCATCCCTGTCTGTTGGAGAAGGCCCAGGTGTCAGAACGTCAGTCAGAACAGCAGCAGACGATACCAAGCCTAAAACCACATGTGCATCTAAAGACAGTTGGCATGGGTAAGAGCTGCTTATTGCAAGTGATATTTTTGCCAATACCTTAAAATACAGGATTTTCCCTCCCGTGTATCTGGAAATGAGTATGTTATGATACAGAACCCAAGACCCAGCATTTAGAGAAGACCCATTCTTCCCCCTTGTGAATTTGCTGAGATTTTGCTGTATGGCCTGGCTCATGGTTAGTTTCTCTAAATGTTCTGTGTTTGAGAAGAATGGGTCTTCTCTAATAATTCTTGGGGTCCATACTTGTCCATTAAATTAAGCTTTTAAATGTGTTATTTGAATCTTCTTTCAAATTTTTTGTCATCAATTTTTTTATTGATCTGTCAATAATTGAGAGAGGTATATTGAAATCTCCTCTGTTAGATTGCATTTGTCTGGTTTCCCCTTTAGCTCTCTGGTTTTGCTTTATGTATCTTGGAGCTATTTTGTAGGACCGTACAGCCTTCATTCACGCCAGTTTAAAGAGTCATCTTTGTGGTGAATTGAGACTTTTATCATACAGCGACAGTCTTAATTCCTCATAATGGCTTTTTTTCAAAGTCTGTTTTGTCCGGAATTAATATAGCTAAACCAGTTGTCTTTTAGTTAGTATTTGTCTAGTGTGTATTTTTCTATTTTCAACCATTCTGTGTTGTAAAATTTTAGATGTGTCTCATAAATAATATAGATTATTTTGTTTTATTCAGTCTAATAATCTTTTTTATAACTACTTAGTTAAATTCATTTACATATATTTTGATATATTTGGACTTGTTCCTGCCGTTTTACTTTATGCTGTCATATTTTTTGTTTTTCCTCTTTTCTCTCCTCACCTTTAAAAAACTGTTTGAAATGAGCTTGTTTTTCCTCTACCGTTTTTCCTTCTCTTAGTTTGGAGATTGTATATACTTTGTATTCTTTTAGTAGTCAGCCTTGAGATTTTACCGTACATGCGTAACAAAGACAAAAGTTAATATTTTTTAGGAGATTTTATTTATTTTTAGAGAGAGGGGAAGGAAGGGAGAATGAGAAGGCGAGAAACATGGTGTATGATAGAAACATCGATCAGTTGCCTTTAGCAGGCCCCCAACCAGCTATCTGGTCTGCAACCCAGGCCTGAGCTCTGACTCAGAATCAAACCAGCAACCTTTCAGTTCAGTCTGGTGCTCAGTCCACTGAGCCACACCACCCAGCGTCAAAAGTTACTATTATAACCCTCTTCCTGAAAACCCTTTTACTCTCACTCAACTCATGACTTCCATGGCATAGTGACCTTTTAATCTCACAAATCAGGTTTTATGTAATTATTTAAGTAGACTTGTTCAGATTCATCTCATTTATACTTTCTTTGCTCTCACTGTGCTTTCATCTTCAGTCTTCCATAAGATCACCCTTTTTTCCCTTCTCTTACTAAAGTGCTTCCTTTAGTGGTACCTTTAGTAAAGGTATTACTAGCAACTGGGGCCTCCATGTCATAGAACTCCACATAAGATAAATTTAATGGTGCCCTTGGAGTTGTATAACATCATGTTCTTGGTAAATATATTTTGCTTTGATTTATCTGAAAATGTCTTTATTTCATCCATGTTCTCGGAAGATACACTTGATTGGATATACTTGAAATCATAGTTCTAGGTTGATAGTTATTGTCTCTTAGCACTTGAAGGTATTATGCATTGTCTTCTGGCTTCCATATTGCCATTGAAAACCCTTCTTTAATTGTTTTCTTGGAAATAATCTGTCTAGTCTCAGGCCACTCTTAAGACGTTCCTTTTGCCCTGGCTGGTGTGGCTCAGTGGATTGAGTGTTGGCCTGTGAACTAAAAGGTTGCCAGTTCAATTCTCAGTTGGGTTGCATGCCTGGGTCACAGGCCAGGTCCCCAGTTGGAGGCATGTAAGAGTCAACTGATTGATGTATCTCTTGCACATTGATGTTTCTCTCCCTCTCTTTCTCCCTCCCTAAAAGTAAATAAATGAAGAAAGAAAAAGTTCCTTTTGGGTTTGATATTCTACAGTTTTGCTGTAGTGTGTTTAGATATGAATTTCTTTTTACTTGTCCTGCTTCGGTGAGCTTCCTATATCTATAGATTCTCTTTCATCAATTTAAAATATTTCTCAGCTGTTACCTCTTAAAAAATCACTTTTTCTTTCTCTGAAGTCTTACTTTCAGAGACTCCAGACTTCTTAGTCTTATATATCACTTAACTGTCACTTTTTTCCAACTCTCCAAGTCTCTGTGCTACCTTCTAGGTCAGGAGTCAGCAAACTTTTTCGGTACAGGGCCAAATAGTAAATATTTTGGGCTCGGAGAGCAAGAGGTGAGATCTGAGGATATCAGATGTGCGCTATCCTGGCTGGTGGACGCAGTTTGTGTTCAGCTGCCGAGGCACTCTCGGGATGAAATGACTAGACTGGGGATGGGTGGGTACGGGGCAGTGCCGAGGTCACTCTCTGCCCTCGTGGTAGCCAGATTCTAGCATGTCCTCTCTTCCAGAGGGAGCCTGGCACAGGGCACATTCTCAGAGTGAGATGCTACCTCTCAGTGCCCAGTGATTGCTGACAGCAGAATCTCAACATGTACGTAGTAGCTAGCGTGGGCCCCGAGCACAGTGTGGAATGTCTGCTGGCCAGGAAGGCAGGTGCAGGGAATGGAGGAGAAGTGAGTGAAGGGGACACTTCAGCCAGGCCTCTGTGGCTCGCAGTGCTAGTCCAAATGGGCAGTGCGTGCTATACAGACTCGGGGGGCCGGATTTGGCCCACAGGCTGCAGTTTGCTGACCTGTGTTATAAATAATTGAGATTTATCGTCCAGTTCAGTGTTTCTTTCCTTAACTGTATGTATTCTGCTGTTTAGCCCACCCATTTAGTTTAATTTCAAATACGAAGTTTCTTTGTTTCTTAAAGTTCTATTTGGTTCTGTTTTCAAATTTACTTGACTGTTTTGAGTTTTTTGCTTTGCTCACCTCTTTTTAAAATATTTTCTAAAACGTTATGTAGTATATCTAATGTTTCCCAGTATTTGAAAAGTTCAAGGAGTCTAAATCTGTCAGCTGTTACCAGTGATAGAAATGAACCCTAAATCTGATGCTCAGTTTAGTAATCATGGAATCGTGGCTGTTGGTAGCATTAGCCTTACAGTGGTACACCAGCTGCTGAATTTGGGGCATAGAAACATTTAGTTTTTATAGCATCGGTTTCAGTTGTCTATGCAGGATGCTTCCCCACACCACTGGGTCAGAGGTTCCCAAGCAAAGGTTGGGACAGGACGGGTGTTCTGCACTAAATGTTTAGCCTAAGGAATGCAGTTAAAAACTACCCTTTACCCCTCCTGTTTCCATAGCTTGCTAATACGGAGATGTTGGAGTTTTGGGGACACAGGTTAGGCAACTTGAAGAGGAGATGGGCACATCTCTTTAGGGGAAACCAATGACTTTAGACTCATAAACTTGAAAGGAGGCAGATTTCCAACTGTCATAAAGAATTTGTTTAGGAGAGTTCTGTATCCCAACATCTTGTGCATTTTTTCCCTTAGTTCTACAAGGAAGTCTTCACGAGGAGCAATGAGAACACAGCGTCGTCGACGTTCTAAGTCTCCCGTCCTTCATCCTCCAAAGTTTATACATTGCAGTCCAATAGCTGCTTCTTCCAGCAGCCAGCTCAAACACAAAAGCCAGACTGACTCTCCTGATGGCAGCAGTGGCCTGGGAATTTCAACCCCTAAAGACTTCAGTGCAGAATGCTCTCCTCTTGATACTCACCACACAGGGGCAGTTGTTGAGCCTTTGAGAACTTCGGTTCCAAGGCTGCCGTCAAGGAGTACAAAGGAGGACTCCTCTGAGGCTACTGAAGTCTCCCAAGCAAGTCTTAAGGCCAGTGATCTCTCTGACTTTCAGTCGGTTTCCAAGCTAAACCCGGGCCAGCCATGTGCATGCCTAGGCAAGGAGTGCCAGTGTAAGCGGTGGCATGATATGGAGGTATATTCCTTCTCGGGCCTACAGAATGTCCCTCCCTTGGCCCCAGAACGAAGATCCACGCTCGAGGACTACTCCCAGTCGCTTCACACCAGAACTCTGTCTGGCTCTCCCCGCTCCTGTTCTGAACAAGCACGCGTCTACGTGGATGATGTGACCATTGAGGACCTGTCGGGCTACCTGGAATATTACTTGTATATTCCCAAGAAAATGTCGCACATGGCAGAAATGATGTACACCTGATAGCAAGAAGCTAATTAACATGCTGTAAACCAATGAAGGGTTGTCAGAGATTTAGTTAATGGTAGACCTGGCAGCCACTTTGTGTGAGAAGACATCTCCTGCTCACTGTGCTTGCAATAAAAACTTTACTTGGCATCTCAGTTCATCTTTATTCTTTAACTTACTCCAAGTTCTTAGGTGCCCAGCAAGGCAAGCCAATCAAAGAAAAACTCCTTTCACTTAGCAGTGTTCCTGGGGGTTGACGAAACCATAATTACTTGACTGGTAGCAGTGGCTATGTAGTCAAAGCCTATGGAAAACAGTGCATTTTCCAAATCTGTTTTAAGATTTGGTGGCCAAGGAGAAGGAAATTGGTCTTACAACTTGTCATGCTGTAGTTGCCAGCCCAGAATATTAGCATTTCTATGACTGATTTAAACCACCTCTGAGTTAACACAAAATTGTCTTTAAAAGTTTCTTATGTTAGTGTTAAGCCAGAGATCTAAGGTTTAGATTCAATATGAATAAACTAGCTGGCTTGCCCTATTTTGTTTGAGAAAATCATTAACCATCACCAAATGAACCCCTGCTGGTGCTGTTCATCCTGTCCTGAGCCGTGTTACATGAAATTGCTCACGTATGCAGCAGCCTGGAGTGGGCTACTTGCGTCGGAGGAAGGAGTTGGGATACATGGCTCCAGTACGCAGCTTCTCCGTCTCTAGCATGTTAGTGTGTGTGGTGTGTTCAGTCACTTGTAGTGTAGATCTCATACCTCAGCGTCAGATGTTCTGGCTGCATAGTATCTCTGGTGAGTCATCCAAAAATGCCCTCCAAAGTTTGGTAAATAAATCTGTCCTCAATTTCAGCTGCAGAATGGATACCTTTTTCAGGTGTCTTCAAAGTATATTTATGCTGCATAACTTTTAACTCAGACCATTGTAACATACCCATGAATTAATTGAGTGGAAATTTGTCTAGCCATTTTATTATTTCATCCTCACCCCAGGACACTTTCTTCACTGCTTTTAGAACAAGGGGTAGAGAGAAATACCAAATGTGAGAGAAGCATTGATGGGTTGCCTCCTATACATGCCCAAACCAGGGATCAAACCCCCATCCTAGGCACATGCCCTGACGGGCAGTCGAACCTGCAGCCGACCTTTCAGTTACAGTGTGACGCTCCAGCAGGGCTGTCCAGCCATTTTAACACCATGTTAACAAAAAGTTTGTTTCTTTTAGGTTACAAGATAAAGTTGCTCTTTACTAAAATACCCCACTGTCTATGGGACTGATCCATGACAGTGGGGTCTGGGCTTTGCAAATAGATGGTTTGTACTTGGAGAGGTGGGAAGGGTATTTACCAGAAAAGCTTGAACTTCAGTAGTGAGAGACCCCTAGTAGTTACTAGTTTAGTATGGATTTAGTAACATCTGAAGATGTTTTCAAACAAGGGAGCAAAGTACAGCACTAGGAACTATAACAGAGGTTTCCCAATGCTAATAACATGTACTATTTCATATAGCTAAGGCAGCAGTTCTGAAACTTGCTGGTCTCCAGATTGCTTACAAATTGAGGATCCCAAAGAGTGTTTACTCGTGGGTTATATTTATCACTATTCACCATATTAGAGATTAAGACATTTAAAAAAATATGTGGTAATCCATAAATCCATTTGTGTTACTATATAAGCATTTTACTTATTTAAAAGATATTTTTAGAGAGGGGGAGGGAGGGAGGGAGAAAGGGAGAGAAATATCGAAGTTCAAGAGATCTATCAGTTGCCTCGCACACCCCCAATGGGGGACCTAGCCCACAACCCAGGCATGTGCCCTGACTGGGGATCAAACGAGACCTTTCAGTTTGCAGGCTGACACTCAATCCACTGAGTCACACCAGCCAGGGTTGTATAGATAACATTAGAAATTGGGGAAAAACTCCAAAACAAAAAATACTAAGACTGGTATTGTTCTACATTTATGTACATCTCTAATGTCTGGCTTAATTAAAGATGGCTAGATTCTTGTGTCTGCCTGCTTCTGCATTTGGTGTCTTAGGACATTGCTGGTCATGTTACCTCTGAAAAATGACACTTGTGAGACACTGCTCAGAAAAGGTGAAGACTATGTTAATATGAAAATAGCTTTGACCTTGCAGATTTTCTGAAAAATCGGATTCCCAGACCACACTTGGAGAACCACGAATACGGGCCATTAGAGTTGGTTGGAAAGGTGCCCACCGCTCACCCTCACCTCCACAACTCTTGTCTTGCTTCCCCTTTCTTACTGGAGGGTAGTGGGACAAATGGGCAAATGTGTTACTTGAGTCCAGGTGGTTCCTAAGTCAGACCTGTTTGGTTTGCTTTTCCAATGAGCTGCCTGGCGATTTATTTAGTTCTGCACGTTAATGGAACAATCATGAGAGAACGAAGGTGAGGCACTTTCCTTTCTTACAAAATTATTGGGAGGAGGGGCTGTCAGGATTGAAAAAGCCAAAGTTCAGTGGCTGAGCAAACTGCTGAAGGCTTCGGCATTCCCGACTTGTAGGAATGAGTGGTAAGTGTTTCCATGTCAGTACCTTCCTCACATCGTGAATCTTAAGGCCAAAAATTACTCTCTCCAGGCCCAGTTGGGCCAAATGTACTACGCGTCCCTCATTGGGACATTCGACTAAATTTTGTGAGTGCAACTTACTGAACTAACCTTTCTCTGAAGCATCTGGAAAAACATTCAGGTTGTGGATTGAGTGATTTTTACTGTTTGGAAGAGTAGCATCCTGACATGTACTTTTATTTAATAATTATTCATTAAACATTCATTCATTCAGCATATGTATCAAGTGCCTGCTGCACTCCAGGAACACTATACCAGGTGCTGGGAATAGGACAGGAAGTGGAACAGCATCCTTGTCTTCAGAGGAAGTGCCACCGAGAGAGGAGGACTGGGGGACTAAGGGCTGGGCAAGGGGAGGGACTGCTATTTTATTTGGGGTCATCAGCTAAGCCTCTGTGACAAGGTGGCATTTGGGCTGATAGTCGAACAACGTGAGCAAAGTGAGGGAGCCAGCCGAGTGGGTATCTGGGGAAGAGTGTTCGTAGCAGAAGGAACACCAAGGATATCTGTGGCCTGAGGCAGGCAAGGTCAAAGAAGCATAAAGCAGTGACAGATCACGGAGAACCTCATAGGTCATTTTAAAGGCTTTGACTCCTAAGGAGATAGGGAACTAGGGGGTGGGGGGGAGGTTGGGAGAGAATAGACATGATACCAGACCTGGCGTTTTAAAAGGGCACTAGCTGCTGTGGGTGAACTACGGGGAGCAGGGGCGGGGGGAGCAAGGAGGGCTGATAGGAGGCTATTGCGGTAAATCGGACAATAGTTTCTAGCAGCTTGGACACCTGGCAGCACAGCAGAGATGTGCTCTGAAATTATACTGAAGGCAGAGCTGAAGGGATTTGCCGATAGACATATGGTGTGAGAGAAAGATGGGAATTAAGGATGACTCCAGTGCTTTTAATAAGCTGGCAGGTGGCTGGAGGAGCAGATCTGGGAGGGGAAAATAGGAATTTGGTTTGATCTCAAGTCCAAGATGCTTCTGACATACGCAGAGGCATTGAGATGGTGGCTGGATATGGGGGAGAGGTACGGGCTGGAGATACAGATACAGGAGCCATCAGGACATGGTCGTTATTTAAACTATGAGATTGAAGATCACCTAGGAAGTGAATGAAGAACTGGTCCAAGGACCAAGCTCTGGGACATTCTCAAGATACAGAGGGCAAGAGCATGAAGAGGAACCAGTAAAAGTCTTCGTAGGAGCAGCAGGAGCAGAACCAAGAGAGGAGTTACAGAAGTCAAACGAGAAAGTACTTCAAGAAGGGAGCTGTCAACTGCCCGAGATACCGCAGGAGAGAAGAGGGGCCCCCCTCTGTGCGGGCCCTGGGCATACAGAGATGAGCCACAGTGCCAGGCACAGAGTCGCCTTCATGCGTTGTTTTGGAATGAACATGATCCTTGCTCGGAACGACTCCTAGTCGGGGGTAGGAGCCGGCGTGTGGGAGGCCACCTAAGCGGCCGGGAATCTTGTCGGGGGAGGTGAGCCTTCTTCAGCTGAGTTTTCAACGCTGAGAACTCAAGTGGATTTCTGTGTGCAGTTCCCTCTGTTCTGGAATTTCAGTTCCCTTGTGTCTGGCCTCCATGAGAAGCAGTCACTCTTGAGAAGTTGAGAAGGAAACAAGGAAGCAAGTGACTGCTCCATCAGACCAAAGGACCATGGAGCAAGAAAAGACCGGGGAGAAAGAGGAATGGGGTAGATACTTTTAAACACCGTTTAGAATTCCTCCAAGTTTAGTCAATTCCATTCCATTACAGAAAACCTGTTGCAATGCACATATGGCCAGGAGAGGTCTCCCTTTCCCCAAAGGCACCGGCTTAGGGGGTGGGGCCAAAAGGAGATGGCAGGTCAGGAAGCTCAGCACTGGGGGAAGGCCGGGAGCAAATCCGACAAAGAATTTACTGAAACTTTTAAGAAGTCAAAGTGTCCCTTGAACAGTAAGATCAATGATCAGTTTAGAAAATGAAAAACCACACCCTTTGCAACAACATGGATGGAACTGGAAAGCATTATGCTGAGTGAAATAGGCCAGGCATTGAAGGACAAATACCATATGATCTCACCTTTAACAGGAAGCTAAATAACAAAATAAACAAGCAAGCAGAATAAAAACAAAGACACGGAAATAGAGAACAAGTGGGCAGCGACCAGAGGGGAGAGGGAAGGGAATTTAAGGGGAAAAACGGGGAGGGATTTTGAAGAACAAGTATGAAAGACACAGGGATGAGGTCTGTGGGGGGGGGGGGGATGGGAGGGAGGTGGGGAGACGAGGCGGAGGGGGGGGTTGGGATGGGAGAAATTGACAAAAGAAAACTGTACTTGAAAAATAACTAAATAAATTTTAAAAAAAGAAAATGAAAAGCCACAGAGTAATGTTGAGTAAATATGTTGGGAAGAGTAAGGAATACTTCAGAGTCTGAGAACTTAATATTTAGAGAGATCTCTTCCCTCTTTGGTGACTATTTTATTAAGCATGACAGTTTGAAAAGTAACTTATGTGAGGATAATATTAATAATAGCTAACATGTATTAGGTGTTTAGTGTTCTAAGTCTTTTTTTTTTCACAGTATGAACTCATGCGATCTTCACCCAGCCATATAAGGTAGATTCTGTTATCCTTAACACTAACAGTCCTTTGAAAGAGGTACTTTTACAGCTGAAGAATTTGTGGCTCAAAGAAATAAACAACTGGTCCAAGGTCACGCAGCTTGTGAGGGGCAGAACTGGGATTTGAACAAGTATCTAACTCCACAACTCTCCACCCTACATACTGGATAGGACGAGGGTCTCGAGGTCTGGGCCATGCTTCCTAAACGTTATTTCTCTTATTTCTCGCTAAATGTTAAAGTGTAGCACAGTGTTTTGCAGATGTAGCAGTAAACAGGATGAGCTGGCCGGAACTCAAAGGGATAAAAGTAGCCAACTGACCCCCCCAAAAGAAAGAAATCAAACTGAAATTGTCCAAATAGTATATCTAAGTGATGGCCAAGCCTCCCTTCCAGGGGACAGAACTGTGGATGTGAATCCCTGCCTTTCCTTGCTGCAAGTAAATCAATCTACCTTGGGACAACCATATTGTCCCATTTTTGAACAAAGCAACCCAAGTAGCGAAAGCCTGGAGTGTGGTAACAGACACAGTCTATGGTGAGCAAGAAGATTCGTGAATATGTAAATGTTATTAAACAACAGTTTCTTAATTTGACAACATACCGTGGTTCTTGACCAGGAATGAGAATCAGATGCGTCTGAACTTTTAAAAAGAAAGCAACAGCCCCAGCCTTACCCCACAATCTAATTGAGTAGGTTGGGGGTAGGAGGGGTCTGTAATCTGTTTCTACTGGTGGTTCCTATGAGTACAGGCCCTGGGCAGGGAACCCTCGTAGGGAGCTGTACGAAAAATCAAATAAACAGTGGCTAAATGGCTAAATTTACGAAGGCGAACAGTTCTCTAGTACACATGGGCCACCTGGCCTTAGAATAGGATTATGGTGATTTGCTCAGCATTTAACTACAAAGGGTACTGAACTTGGGCAACTCAAGCCACTCTAGCTTCCCATTGGAGATGCCCTTTCCCCTCCCCTTGAGAGCAGAGCTGGAAAGAAAGGTGTGATTCTCCAAAGACTTTGGTGGGAGGTGGCAAAAGTGGGACTCTGGGGACGGTGCTGAGGTGTTCTTAGCAGTGAAGTGTGCGAGCAGGCTGTCAGTCAACCCGGTGGGGTGGTGACACAAAACCCAGCTGATATAGTCGTTATCTCCTGCAACTCCTGCCTGTCGGCCTGGCAAACAGCCAGTGAGAGCACAACAGCTGGGTGTTTGTACCGGGGCTGAAACATGGACACTGAAGGGGCCCTTTAAGGCAGGGGGCTGTGAATGATGAAGGTACCAAGTCTTAGAGACCAGGGGTCCACCTTAAGGAAGGGAGAGAGTATTTTCTATCCGTTTCTGAAGCGAACAAAACTTCAGTGATTTTAAGAGCCTCAAGTCCTCATGTGATTTGGGCGTTGAGTTTGAAGTCAGATAAGAGCCTTCTGTTCTCGTGGGCCTCCTGGGCTTCTTCAGTGGTTTCTACCCTCCCCCATCACTCACACACACACACACACACACACACACACACACACACACACACACACACAGAGCTTCCTGTTCTTGGTGGTTCCTACGAATTACTCCATGCTCCTGTGAACCCTGGGCTCAGCTGGGATTTCCAGCCAGTAGTCCTGCCACAGCTTCACGTCCTAGAGATTTATCTGTCCCTCTCGCTGGCGTCTGGTGGGAACCTGAGTGCTGGGAATGCACCCGGGCCCTTCCCTCCTGACCCTGCCCCAAGAGCTTCATGAAGCCTGAGTTTCACAGGCTCTTTGGACACCAGAGCGCAAGAGAGCCTGGAAAGAATTGAGGGAAAAAATCATGATCCTTCCAGGTTTCTGAGAGGAACTCATTCCGACACAACAGGCAACCTGTGTCTCAGCGTTAGAGGCCAGACTCCCAGCCCCTCTGGGGAGGCACTTCCCTTTGTGGGAGAGAACGGGAGGGATGAAGCATCGGTGCCCTTTGCACAAGGCTCTTCCCAGGGTTTTCTCAGGGTTCCCAGGTGCGGGGAATTGGGGTATGTTCACGAGCACTGCACTCAGACTTGCTGTACCCCAGTCTGTTTCCAGAACCGCACCTCTCTTCTTGAGTTCCCTCTTCTGCTTTCAGAATCATGTAAAACCAGGCCCCATTCCTTTCTCTTTAGGTCACCAGATTCCTTTTTGGGGGGTTGGCAGTGATGCCCTAGCCCCAGGACCCGGAGGGCATGTGAGTGGTGGTGGGGTTGGGATTTGCTCTGGGGGGTTTAAGTGTGCCAGGACTGGGTGTTCTGCTGGTCTTCCCTTCCCCTCCCCTCCCCATCCCGCTGCCCCCTCCCTTCCCGCAGACTCCGGGGGCCCTGAGGGTAATAGAGAGCTCTTACCCAGGGGAAGAGAAGCCTCCAGACTGCCCCAGCTGCCTACCCGTCGCTCTCAGCTTCCCTTCCTTGTCCCTCCAGCCACTCCCAGGGTCTGGAGCACCAGCCCCATCTGAAACACCCCTCCCGCTTTGAAGGAGGCTGGGCTCGCCAGGGGGTTATTTTGGGAGCCGCTTCTGAGATCCAATGGCCTTGTTAGGGCAACACTGACCTTTCTGTCGGGGAGGAGGGCAGGACTGGAGAGGGGCGGGGCAGCAGCGGGGAGATCGACAGTCCTGCACACCCACAGGGTGGAGGAGAAGGGGGCCAGCAGGCTGCAGGAATTCAGCCTGGGGGGCTGGGACTGTCACCGAGGGGGATTTCCCCTCTTTGAGCCGGACTGGGGATCCCTCCACCTACCCTTTCACTGTGCTTCTTAAAGGAATCACAGTGTTTTTCCTTTGACTCCATGGAAGCCAGACCCGGGACGCTCTGTGGAGGCTTTGAAACTTTCCTTCCCACTTCCTTCCTAGCTGGCAGCCGTCCTCTGGCTGACTGAGTGGGGGCCTCCCAGGCATGGCACTGACCAGCCGACTCAGTGCTGACTTGGCTCCTGGGCTCGATCAGCCTCTGGTGGCATCTTGCTTTCCCCCTGCTGGGGTGCGGTGGTGGTGAGTGGGGGGGCCCAGCCCTGAGCGAGCTTGGAGAGTGCCACTGGCACCCCCATCGCCCTCTACCCCCAAGCTGGAGGACAGTCAGGTCGTTGGGGGCTATGATGAGATGAGTGGGGGCCGCTTTGACTTTGACGATGGCGGGGCGTACTGCGGGGGCTGGGAGAATGGAAAGGCCCACGGGCATGGGCTGTGCACTGGCCCCAAGGGCCAGGGAGAGTACTCGGGCTCCTGGAACTTCGGCTTTGAAGTGGCGGGCGTCTACACCTGGCCCAGCGGAAACACCTTCGAGGGATACTGGAGCCAGGGCAAACGGCACGGGCTGGGCATAGAGACCAAGGGACGATGGCTCTACAAGGGAGAGTGGACACACGGCTTCAAGGGACGCTACGGAATCCGGCAGAGCAGCAGCAGTGGTGCCAAATACGAGGGCACCTGGAACAATGGCCTGCAGGACGGCTACGGCACTGAGACCTATGCAGATGGAGGTGAGCCCAGGCTGGGGCCTGGCGGGTGAGGAAGGCTGGTTGGGGCGGAGGAGCACGGGGCAAGGAGCACGGGGCAGTATGACACAGAATCAGAGGGGCCAGGATGCTATCTGCTGTGCGGCTTTGGTTAAGCTACTTACTCTGCCGCTCTCTGCATCTGCTTTCATTTTAGGAATGATGGGGCCAATGACGGACTATTGGGAGGACTGGCAGGAGTGCCTAGCACAAGGCCTGCCATATAAAGTCACACTTGACACACATTCATTCACATGTAACTGCTACTGTTTGCACACTAGGTATGCAGTCAGCTGTGAGACATTCACCAGGGTGTGCTTTAGAAGAACTGGGGCCTAGGCTCAACTTTACCACGGAAATTATCTTCAAGGACTAGATCATGAAGTGTTCATTCATTCATTCATTCACCCACCCACCCATCCATATTCAGTGCATGTTTCTGTGATGCCTCCTATTTGCCAGGCACTGTAAAAGGGTTAGAGATAAAGAGAAGTAAGGTAGAGCCCAGGGCTTCAAAGACAGGCCTGTAGACAAGCCATGATGCACAGGTACATACCGAGCACTGTGGCGGTAAAGAGAAGAACCCTTCAGATGAGGTGACGTCTGAGCTGGATCTCGATGGGAAAACTGCATTTGTGAGGGTGGGCGTGGGAGAGAGAGGAGGGAGTGAAAGGCTCAGAAGGACCAGAGGACTCAGTGGGTTCAGGAAATGAAGAGGAATTATTTTGTGGCAAGACAGCCCTAGGAAATGGCAGAACAGATATCGTCATCTGATCCCTGGGGTGTTACTTTGGAGATATCACTCATGGGGACCTCGGTTTCCTCGTCCATGAAATGGGAGGTTTTCAAATATCCATACTGCTCAAAATATAGTCAGTGGACAGGCAGCAGCATCTGTCCCCATAGTCAGAAGCAAAGTCAGAGGTCCGCCCTAGACCTGCGAAATCAGAATCCCTCCAGAGTCGGCCCAGACATCAGTTTTAAGTTTGTCCAACACTTTTTATGCATGTTAACGCTTAAGAAGTAGTTCTCCAAAGTCACGGGCTCCCAAACTTTAGATAGTGGGCCAAGCTGGCCTGCTGCCTGTTTGGGGGCAGCTTGTGAGCTGACAGTAATTTCCCATTTTGAAATATTTGGGGGAAAAAATTTAAAAAAACACTATTTTGTGACTCATACAAACTATATGGAAGTTCCTATACAACATCATCAATTTTATCTGTTGGCCCAAAAGCCTAAGACTTACTATTCGACTCCACAGGGACAGTTCACTGGCTCCTGCTTCAGGTGTTCATTCAGGTTCCTTCCAGCTTGGGATCATTCTATGACATCTTCCTTGCATGCCGTTGGGAAAAGGTGCTGACACAGATAACTCAAAAGTATGGCTCATTAAGAGTATATCTGTTTGGCACCGGTGGGCATTTGTTGTATATTGAATTCATCACTAGTCTGCCCTCTTTATAGCGGAGGGCAGGAAGTGGGCCGTCTGGGAGTGGACTGGGGTGGGGCAGGAAGGGCACAGTCAGCTCAGGGTGGAGGGTTTGCTCCCGCTGAGGCCTCTGCACATAGAGCCACCTCCGGTGTAGGATGGGCCCCTGACGGGGCTGCCAGTTGGTGGGTGCTGGGCCAGGGCCTGCCCTCGAAAGTGTCTGGATGTTAACGAGGCTGTGTCCCTGGAGTTTCCATGCGCACAAAGGTGGCGGCACAGTGCTGGCTGGAACTGGATCCCACTGAGGACAAATCCTGGCGCCACACTTCCTAATTCGGTAACCTTAAGCTGTTTGCTGAACCTCTGCAGTTCAGTGCAGTTCAGTTCCCTGGATGCTCATGCCCAACACTATGCTAAGTGCTGGAGACAAGCGGTGAGGGAGCCTCAGTTTCTCTGGCTGTGAGATGGAGACGACCTGAGTGCCTGCCAGGTGCCAGTTACCTTTGCAAAGAGGTGCACAGTACACGTGTGCCAACTGTTTCTCCCCGTTCCTCTTCGTCGTCTCCAAAGCAAGTTGTGTATGTGCGTTGGTGTGTGGATGTGAGTCACAGGGAGGCTCTGGGACGATCTCCTGGCACATTTAAAGGGGGAGAAGGGAGAACCCATTCATTCATGCATTCATTCATGTGACCCATGTTTTAGAGCACCAACTATGTGTCAGGCACCATCCCACACGAGTCTCAGGGGCTGAGGCAGTGCGTAAGCAAAGTCCCCAGGGAGCTCCCTGTCTCACGAAGAGCACAGAAATAAACTGGAAAACAAACATTATATGTAATTTCCAGACATTACAAGTGTTATGAAAAAATAGCAAAGAAGGAAGAGGGTGATGTTTTTTGGATAGGGTAGTCTGAGAAGCAGGGTGGAGAGTGCTAGAGTGAAGACTTCCTTCCAGGTGGCGGGAATGGCCATGGCAAAGACCCTGAGACAGGACTGGACTTGGCATGTCTGAGAAATAGTGAGAATGCCAGGGTGTCAGAACAGAGTGGCTGAGTGGAGCCGGCCGGCGTGGGTGCCAGAGATGTGGGCAGGCACCAGGTTGAGACGGCTTTACAGGGGCCTGGGTTTTATCCTGGGTGTGCCCAGGTGAGAAGGAGACCTGCTCCTCTGGTTTCCAGAGGTCCAGACTCTCTTCCCAAATGAGAGAGCCCCACATTCAGGCAGCCAGGAAACCTTTCAGATCCTTTCTCCCAAGCTGCACATGAGGTGCAACTCTCCAAAATTAGATGTGGCTGCCGCTTTGGAAAATCTCTTTAATCAACCTGTCATCGGTTCCGGAGGGTTTGTTAAGGACCTGCCCTTTGCCCCATCCTGGGTAGCACCGAGGGAATGTGCACAAATAAGATCCTGTGATTATGAACGGCTGGGAGTCAGATGGCCCTGGGTCATTACACCTCCTGGCTTGATCACATTATTTAATCTCTTAGAGCCTTAGTTTCCTCATCCATAAAATGAATTTATCCTAATCTCTCCTAAGATTCCCCATGGGATAAACGGGGCCCTCAATAAATGGGAGTTGCTTTTATTAGACTTAACTATCATTAATTCATTCAATAAATTTATTGAGTGATTGTTATGAAGCCTGAGCTATACTACAAGGGGCGGGGGGTGGACTAGAGTATAGAAATAAACAGAATGAATAGAAGGTGCCCGTCTTCCAGAGAATCTAACATGAAACTGTACTACAGTGTGTGGGGTGCCAGGCAGGGGAATATTACCAGGGACTAAAGGAGCAAGAGAGAGGCCTAGCCAGACTCAGGCATTCCGGGAGGCTTCCTGGAGTAAGTGGCAAGCCTGACTCTGAAGTCTGGAGCGAGCCAGGTGACGGATGGAAGAAGAGTGCTCCAGGTGGAGAGAGTGGAGTGCACACAGCCAGAAGGTCCAAAACCTGCATCCAGCTAGATGTCAAGCTGAAACTTAGATGTTATTCACAGTTTTGAGAAGTAATGACCAACGGGACCGTGTGTCCCCTTTCTTCCACTCCCCACCGCACCTGGCAGTCAAAATTTACAGGTGCCTTCTCCAGACCAAAGAAGACACCAGTTTTCCAAACTGGAGGTATTAATCTACAAAGAGGTGGCAAAATCAATTTAGTGGGTCATGACCTGCATTTTTTTAAGTGGAAGAATAGAAAATATCACAGTATTTCATAGAGAATAAGATCAAACGTCGTTTCCTGAAATAGGTGCTCAGTTGAAGATAGATATGTGTGTGTGTGTAAAAATGTCTGTGTTTATGTGTGTGTTACAATGTCATGTGTCTTACTTATTGCTGATCATGGTCAAAAAGTTAGAAAATCACAGCTCTGAAGTGACTTGACCTGGCATCTTCCCGGAAGCCCCTGCCTTTCCTACCTGCTCAGGCCCTCAGCCTCCTCCATGCTTGACTCTTTGGCTGCAGGTTTAGCTCCCCAGTTTCCTGGTGGGAAAGGGAAGGTGGTACAGGCAAGGGGCTCTGGCCTCCTAAACCCTGTGGCAGCCTCTTGGCACCCCTCCCCTGCCTATAGCCCTCATTCCTCTCCTGGCCATATATAGCCATGCTAAAAATAGCCGCTGCCTTGAAACCCCAAAGCAAGCCCACTGCGGAGCCCATGTGTACTGGGGGGCTACCACGCCGTTCCCACCCCAGACACCCGCAGACTTCAGGGCTAGAAGGGCCTTTAGTGATCTCTGCTGTCCCAGGTTCCTGACCTGGGGCCTGAGCCTTGGCCTCCGAGGCCGGTAACTGCCCTGACACTGAGGTGTGACGCGTGCGTCTGTGCTTAGGTGCTCACACGCGGTCCCCCACCACTGATGGTATTCAGCAATGCCCTCTACAAATGTGCAGCGGAAAAACCAGGCTCAAGATGGACTTTTTTTTTACAAAATAAAGCTAGTAATAATAATAGCTAACATTAGCAGTTCTTGGTGTGTGGTGCCCGTGTTAGTCAAACTTCCACAGCAACCTCGTGGGGGGCGTGTTGCCAGTGCTCCTGTGTGTTCAACTGTTTACAAGGACACATTAAAATAATCGGTCCAATTTACCAAGAACAGAAGAGACTAAGGATGGAGTTCATCTTCCATATTAGATGAAAGGTTTTAATTTTTAATTTATTTTTAGATAACACCATTTGTTGAAAAAAAAAAAGCCCTGTATTTTCCCCTTTTTCTTGTATTACAAATTTTTTCTTTCAATTTACCTCCCCACCTTCTGGCAACTATCAGCTTGTTCTCTGTATCTTTGGACCTGTTTCTGTCTTGTTTTGTTTATTCCCTTCTTTTATTTTTTTATATTCCACATATAAGTGAGATCATACAGTATTTGTCTTTCTCTTATTTCACTTAACATAATGCTCTCGAGATCCATCTATGTTGTCGGAAACAGCAAGATCTCATTCATTTCTGTGGCTGAATAATACTCCATTGCGTGTATGCACCCCATCTCCTCAACCCGCTCATTTAGTTTTGGACGTCTAGGTGGCTTCCACATCTCGGCTATTACTAATAATGCTGCGGTGAACACA